AGAGGAATCGATGTTTTATTCAACAATATGGAGAGAAATTACAAAACTTAGCAATATTGGCTTCTCTTGTCTCTAAAACTGAATGAAGAGTCTACTATTTATAGGGAAGATGTCCAAACCCAAGATGGAAACAAAATAAAAGAAAATCACGTGAAATAAAGGAAAAATATTTTCTCAATATTTATACAATAAAACACGTGAAATAATGGAAATATTATTTTTCCAAATACGCGCAAACAAGGAAACTTATATTTCCAAATATTCCAACATAATTTGGGTCACCAACTCCAACACTTTGATAACGAAAGAAACGAAATCTTGAAAGTGAATTTTCATTTGTGGCCCAAACCCGAATAAACGCGCGAAAACTTTGATACGCGTCGTTTTGTGGTCCTCTAGATCTTGCGCTCCGGCAAAATAGACACACGAAGTACACGTACAAGCTGCGGCAGCTCTGCAACTTTTCGACTTGGCAATGGCCCAAACTACCGTTATTTTTCGGTCTCACTTCTTCTCCAAATCAAAGTCCTCTTTTCAGCTCTTTAGCCGCCTGTTTTCCCGTTCCTCCACCACATTACCAACGCTTCTTTTCCCTGCCACTCCTTCCATAATTCCTGAAACAGTTTTCCCTCCCCGCTTTCACACAAGGCCGTTTTGCACCCCTGCCGAGACGCCCACTTCCAAGAAACGCAATCCCAAATTGGTGAATTTCTCCCTCCCATCGGATTCAGAGTCGGATTCCGAGTCGGGAAGCTCGACTCAGAAAACTGAGGCAAAACAAATAGATAAATCCAAGCTCCCCCCACCGTACGATCCGTTTAATAAAAAATCCGTCATAGAAGAACCAGAGGATCCGAAAAACCTCCAAGAAGTTTTCGCAAAATTAAGAGAAGATGGCCTCATGAACAGTGCAGTCAAGATGTTCGACGGATTGTCCCAAGAGGGTTTGACCCACGAGGCATTAGAACTCTTTTCGCAGATCAAGGAGAAAGGCAAAATGCCCGATGTGGTAGCGCACACGGCGGTTATAGAGGCTTATATGCAAGCGAACCAGCCCAAGGAAGCCCACAAAGTCTACATGAGGATGCTGGCCAGTGGGGTGCTGCCTAATGCGTATACTTATAGGGTGCTAATACGGGGGCTGGCGGAGAGTGAGGAGGCGAAGATGGTGAAGGAGGCAAAGAAGTACGTTGGCGAAATGGTGGGGCGGGGAATGCGGCCGAATGCAGGGGTCTGTGTTTCGACGTTTGAGGGATTGGTGAAGATTGGGTTGGAGAAGGAAGGGAGGGAGATGCTGGAAATGTTGAAGGAAAAAAGGATTGTACCGGAGGAGAATAAGGTTAGAGAAGCTTTGAAGAATAAGAGAGGTACTGTTTATAGGACTGTGATGAGTGTTTTCTATGAGAAATAGAGAGAAATGGAATACCCATGCTGTTGAAAATGTACTCCGTTTCCCATGTTTTAATTGCAAAATTGCTCCTATTTCCCCCTTAGGGTCATGATATCTTTTTATTTAATAATCTTCAACAAGATGTCATTTGAATTTGAACAAGGTGGCTCAAGGCATTTTCTCTACACCTTACCCTGAAAATACGGGCACCTTACGTTCTTAAACTGATAACCTAAAACGACGATTTTTATCAACTGTAGCAAAGAAACTTCATAGAAGTCAAAAAGTAAAAAAACTCAATCAAGAGACGGAAATAAATAGATCCTATTCAATTTCTGAGTCTTTCAATACTGATACGGGTCTGCATCCAAATGTTGCATCAAACTGAACATTACACAAGATTTCTATACGCCTTACAATGTGAATAAGTTTGAAGTTGCCAAAATAATCAACTTACAAGGTAATTGTATCTGTTTTCCGGACAAGCAATGCAATAGCTGTAACAAAATAATTGGCCTGACCAAAATAAGTGATATCGTGTGCTTTGGGGGTTAGAATGCGATGTCACAAGAACGAGGTGAGGGTTGATGCTTTCAATTATCATTATCCTGGAGCATTTTCCCCCAACCTGGACCCCTGATACTAGAGCTCTGACAAGAAACCAATTAGCCAAAGGCTTGTTTCGCAATGGGAGTAAACTTCACCCGATGACAAGCAGCAACTGGAGGATGGTGACATCGGCAAAAATTACTAATATCCTCTCTTGTTGGGGCATTCCGATGCCCTGTGGCCAGTCCGTCCACAGTTGAAACATGCGCCCCCAAAATTTCTGTTCAACACATATGAATGCTTAAGAAATGTATAGACAGGTGCAAATATACAAGTTAGAAAAGTTTAATTGAAAACGATGCTTCTGATTGACAATTATAAATCTCCTTCCAATGAGCAGAAAAGCTCATTAGGATCAAGTATTTTAAGACCATTCTAAATCAGGATCCATGATTATTAGGATTAAAAAACAAGCTTTTGAATATTTAACAAAGAAGTATAATCTGGTTTCTTTAAGCCCCAAGTACCCAGCAAGTGAAGAAAGAAATTTGGAATGGTGATATGGGTAAAAGTACCTGTCGTTACTTCCAAAAGATGGGGACCGCCCTGAACCAAAAGATGGAGACCTTCCTGATCGCCTATCGCCAATTAGCCAGTCACTGCCACCGCTTCTAGAGTTTCTAGACCAACTGTTTTCGTTTCTTCTGCCACGACCACCTCGCCTTAAGTTATCTTCGCCATCATCCCTGTCCAACCAATCCCGAGAAGATCTAGTACCCCTCTGGTCTTTTGAATCTCTTCCTGAGCGTCTATCAGTGTTTGAAAACCGACCATAGTAATCACTTGGAGGTCCATCATCTTGCAAAGCAGGCAACTGTGAAATAAAAGACGCATGAAAAGATGACAAATGGATGTTGTAAGTTGATACTTGCACATTAAATATTTGTTGCTGTGAGACAAAAAATAAGATTACAGTAGGGTATTATACTGAGAACCCGTGAGCCAAATCATACTTACCTTGGTGATTTTGGTAATAGTGTTCCCAGGCGGTAGCTCCTTATTCAGCAACTCTTTTGCAATCTCTTCTGGAAGATCAAAAACTGCTCCTTGGAGCTGACAGAAGAATGGCCAACATTGATTAAGACACAAACTCTTGGTATTGATGCAGTAAAGGGGGAGAAAAAAAAAACTTCGTAACAGTCGAACACAAACCTTTTCATCTGCAATAATCTGTATTTTTCCTACTTCATCAGCAGCAGCAGAATAAACATCAGAGAGAAATCCAGTGACAGATCTAGCAGATAGGTATCCTCGAGAATAACCAGTTTCACGTGTCAATTGTAATGTAACTAATCCCTACAATGCAAACAAACAGTTCAAATTCAGACTAAGCACACAAAGCAGAAATCATATCGAGAAACAAATTATTGATTTGTGCAGTACACAGCATAGTAGCTCAGACATAAAAATCCATCTTTAGCAAAAGTGCAGGTTCACAACCAACCAGATACGGAAAGTATCAACACAAATAGCATCATAAAGGAAAATAAAGTCTCCTGTCATGGAAAGTAATTGAGCTTGCAAATCAGACAAACCTTAAGTAGGACAATAGCAATCTGTACTTTCGAAAACGTACTTGTCAAAACAGTTGTATTAATTTCACATACTTATTTTAGGAGCTATGCCAACAAAGTTACAAAAGCTATCCCTTCATGTACCTGTTGATGACTAATAAGAGAACGAGATGATGGGGGCTGAGAAAAACCACTCAAAGTTGCTAGAGCAGCAGCAAGAGCATTTAGTCCTTCTTTTTCCATCAGCTTTTGTGCAGTTGGGGTGAAGTACTCAACAGACTCGGGATGAACCCCACTGAGGGTAGCCACAACTTGCTCAGCTGATGATACCAAAACCTCTTGAACTGATGGCGGAGTAATAAATTCAAACTTGCACCCGACATCACGCTCAAGAGATTTGACCGTCCGCCTTTGGCTGCTCGTGAACATCAAAACAGCTGTCCCTTCTTTTCCTGCACGTCCTGTCCGACCAGAACGATGCACAAAGGTCTCTGGATCATTCGGAAGCTCATAGTGGATAATCTGGATGGCAGAGAGAAGCATTTAAAGTTCAAGCGAGCGGTCAAATATATAGCCATATAAATACTTAGTATGCAATGTTCTTCTAACTACAGCCAAGTAACACACTAAAGCTGCTAAACCCGATATCGCAAACCATAAACATGGGATTAAACGAGAGCAGCACGTTAGGAAAAAAAAGGAATTCCGGCAAGATAGCAATATATGTCAAATAGACCCACATAACAATTGAAAAAATCAGAATACTACAAAATACCACTTCATGTGAAGCAGCAGATCCCGCATATTGAAGGCAGTGATTGACCAACCCACTCAAAATAATCTATATGACTCAAAGGTCCCACGGACATTAGAGGAACAGAGACCCAAATTTTGCTTCATCTCAAGCAGAAAAAGACCACACACTACAGCCAGCGATATTTTTGAAGAATGACAGTTTGTAAGATTTACTAGTCCGTGCAAATAATCAGTTTTATTCAAAAGGGTATAAAGTTATTTTATGGAACAGAAACCTAGATGAAAGGATGTGAGCTCAAACCAACAAATTTGAAACTACAGGCTTATCGATACCTCCAACAATATATGGCTGAACATATGCAAGAGACAAATGAAACTGTTGGCAATTCCACAGTAATGCAGATCATTTCAGTGAGTAATAGTGCCAGAAAAAATGCCCCATCCCCTGGGAGCACTATCTCCAATGTTGTAACTATTGAAGTGAAGATGATCCTTCATAACAATTCACAGGAACTGGGAACCCAAAATTTTCTATCAAAACCTTTCAAATTACTATTACTCGAGAAACACTACTTTAAGTTATTGATGTAAAGGCTCATCCTGACAACCAGCAGTGCATCGAACTAAGTAACTTCGATAGTTTATTTCTGAAATTACCCTATCACTGGTTTCATTGAAGCGATCTTATTCATCCGTATCACCAAATAAAACAATGTAGCTTTAGTTATTCCAAATACCAACTAAAACCAAGTAGAACAAGTGAACAGTAATAACCTTAGAGGCACCCACTCCCAGTCCCCCATATCCATGTTATGTTGCCTAGCTTGGTGGCATTTCATTTTATAAAAAATAAATAAATAAATTATCTTCTGCTCATATAATTATATCTTGAGATCCGCACGAGAAATAAATTGGAAAGAATAGAAGCAAAAAATTAGAAACACCGAAATATCAGCTTAACATGCCAAAGTCCATGGTAGCGCATACTATGAAAATGTGTATCAAATTTTGGGTGGGCAACAAAGAATAGGTTGAAGTTATGACGCAATTTGCTACAACTTTTATGATTTTATGAAGGAAAAAGTAATTACTCAGTTTCTGATTTGTCTTCAGATTACTCCCCTGTTTCAGCATCACCCAGTTGTACGCAATACTATGGTAACATGCCGAAGTCTATGGTAGCGCATACTATGAAAATGTGTATCAAATTTTGGGTGGGAAACAAAGAAAAGGTTGAAGTTATGACCCAATTTGCTACAACTTTTATTATCATGGAAAAAGTAATTACTCAATTTCTGATTTGTCTTCAGATCACTCCCCTGTTTCAGTATCATCCAGCGGTATGCAATCCCTACTAACCTACTATATGTAAATATTAAAGATGCAGCAAGTATTCGCAAATAGATCATTCAATTTTTACGAACTTACTAAATCAACGTTGGGGATATCAAGCCCGCGAGCCGCAACATCAGTGGCAACCAGAACTGTGAATTTTCCTTGCCTAAAACCATTTAGAGTTCTTTCCCTCTGGTGTTGAGAAATGTCACCGTGGAGTGCCTCTGAAGCAATGCTATTTGTTAATGCCATTGAAACTTCATCCGCATCTCGTTTAGTACGTGTGAAAACAATGGCCTTTCCACCCTTTGCATAAACCTGGAAAGACAATTTCAAAGTTAAGAAGTTATATAGGCGGTCTACAAGTCTCTGGCGTGATTACAACTCGAAAAAACATAAAGTGCACGAATAATAGAAATGCCCCTAACTCATACCGTCACAAGATCACTGAGGATAGTCCGCTTAGATGATACAGTTGTTGATATGGCATACAACTTGATCCCTTCTGCCAACTTTTCCTCTTGATCACCAACCTATCAACCAAGAAGGAGAATCAAATGAAGGATGACTGGACGAGTGTCGCTATTAACTTAGACTCATGTTGATGTGTTCAAAAGATGATATTAAGAAAGTTCTATAACCTTCTTAAGAAGACAACTAATACAACCAAGATGACTACGAACAACTAATAAAGGTGGTGGAAAAATGCAGAACAGACCATCAAATGACAATATGATATAATATGATTAAACTAATATCACATTCTAATCAAGCAAGATCTAGAAGCATTTATCTAACGAAGAATTA